CCACCTCCTGAACCTCTATCCAGCTGGGCTCTCTCATAACAAAGTCAAATGTTGGAGATTGTGGACTTATGAGGGCTGTATATGGTTCCAGTTCCAGGTCTCTATCTGGGTCGCTCAGGGTATTGTGCAAGAAAGAGTTTACTTCCTCAGTTGAGCACATGAGACTGCCACTGCGCTTGTCACCTAGAAGCTTCTTAGTGAAGGAGAAAGGGTTGGAAATAAAGGCAGAACGCTTCCTCGCTCTTTCCTTACCCTGCCTTCGGTGCCACTCTGCCCTGCGCAGGGACATGAGCTTTTTTATTAGGATGTTATGAAGCTCAGCAAGTGGTTGTTTTTCTTCTTCACTTGCCCCCTTTTACTGATGTTTGAGACTTCGAAGCTCCTGACGCAGTTAGTGTATCTTTATGGCTCCACGGTTCCTCGAGTAGGTGGGCTTGGTGTTTCTACTCTCGACATGGTCAAATCCCTCAGCCGCATAGCCGACAATGACCGCCGTCATGGCCTCGAGCCGGCTGTCCACTTCCCCTTTAGCCGTAGCTTTCAGGATCTCGCAAACATCGGTGTCAAACTGTGACCACATGGTTTGGCTGTTAGCTGAGGGCCACTTGATCCACTTCTTTGGAACTCCTCTGCAGGAATTGGAGGGCTCTACTGCTTGGAGGGACTGGGCCGGGCTCCTCCTGCCTCTCACCAGAATCAGATCCTGTGCGCTGCAGTACGTTATCCCACTCTGTGCATTTCATCCTTGCCTGATGTATTTTTAGGCCATGCAGATTCTTACATACTTTTCCGCAGATGCATCTTGCTCTCATTGTAGAATTTCCATTTGCATGGGTCGATACCATTAAGTCCATCCCATTGGGGTTCTCATTCTCCCCCCCTCTCGGGCTCCCCTGGGGGTATTTCTCAGAAGGCTTTTCCATAGCAATTTTGGTTTCTCCCTCACGGAAGATTCAGGTTGGGTGGCTGGCCCTTCCTGCCCCGAGAGCCGTCTTTCCGGCTGTCAACTGTCTTTCCAGTTGTCACCAATCTGTTCTTGGTTGCCAACCAGTCTATTCCTGGGAGTCACTGGTTAAACCAGATATGAAGGTGAAAGATACATCATGCAGATGCACTGGGACACATCATCAGTGATATAGTATATAACATTTGTATTATAAATACATTCACTCGGTTAAATAACCAACAGTAACCCATTGCGCGCAACCCAGAAGAGCGCCATAAGAACACAATGCGATCACAATCACACTTCAATTTCACAAGAACACACTAAATGATAGAATTAACATTAAACTTCAAAATAAATGCAAAAACAAATGCCAGAAACTCCCAGTGACGACGCATTGCAATGACTGAATCCAAACACAACTAAAATACGAAATAATAATTCATGTAATAATGTTTCTTGTGTAGGCTTATGTGTACAATAGCACACAAAATTTGCTGAAGTAGACACATTTCAGCCTTAAAAAGAGTAAAACTTCCACAAATATGGTTTAGTGGCTCTTAATCCAGTTCCTAGGGACCCCCACTCTCGTGACCTAATGGTTAAAGAGTCTGCCTTGTGACCCAAAGGTCGCGGGTTTGAGTCTCGGTACCGGCACGGATTGAAGGTTGGGGTAGTGAATGACCAGCACTCTCTTCCACCTTCAATACCACTACTGAGGTATTGAGAAGGTGCTGCAGCAAAAATGGCTGCCGACTGCTCCGGGTGTGTGTTCACAGTGTGTGTGTGTTCACTACTGTGTGTGTGCACTTGGATGGGTGAAATACAGAGCACAAATTCCAAGTATGGGACACCATACTTGGCTACACGGCCTGTC